AAGGCCCACCAAAAATTTACCAAAAGTATAAAATTTACCAAGGAATGCATATGGTTTGACTAGACATTAATAACTCCTCTTCCTAAGTGCCTAAACCGTGACACAGACCAGCTGGTTACCCTGGCTTTATTTTCTGTCACAGTGTAAATGAGGAGATGTAAACATGCAGAAATAATTGGCAGGAATTTCAGGAATAATGAGGAAGAATTGAGAGCCTTGACTAGGGGCTGGGTTTTTTGGTTTTATTTTTTTTTTTCAACACAATTTATTGGAAGATGAGACAGGAAAAACTGGTGGGGAATCTTTGAGTAGATGATAAACAGTCCTCTCAAGGTGGAGCTCTGAATGTGAATAAGGAATTGTGAAAGGATAGCAGTCCTCTTGCTCATTCTCTCCTTCATGATCCCAACCATATTTCAATTTGCCCGGCATCAGTCTTTGAACGTCAGTCCATTCCCAGAGCTCCAGACTGACAGAGCAAGTGCAGGCTGGGGTGGGGGGTGAGAAGAACACTGCAAAGCATGAGAAATGGCAAGCTCTGGACCCAGATCAGAGGTGTGAAAATGTGTGCATGTGCAGCTGCATGGAGGAGAAGAGATATACCAGATACAGCACTTAGACTCACAGAATGACTCGGGCTGGAAGGGATCTCTGAGGAGCCTCTTGTCCAACCCCTGCTTAAAGCAGGGTCAGACAGAGCAGGTTGCTTAGGGCTGTGTCCTGTCAGGTTTTGAATATCTTCAAGAACAGATAATACACAGACTCTCTGGGCAAAACATTATGGTGTTTAATCACCCTCACAGTGATTCTTTTTTTCCTTGTTTTTAAATAACATTCCCTGTATTTCATTTTGTGCCCGTTGTTTCTTGTCCTTTCACTGAGCTCCAATGAGAAGAGTTTGGCTCCATCTTCTTTATTATCCTCCATCAGATATTTACACACATACATGAATAATTAATGGCAAATGCACAAGATGAGGGAAGAGAAGATAAGTTCATAGCTTGGAGAAAGCAGTGTAACAATGATAGTGGATCACAGCCAGAAGGGCGGGGAAAGAAAATGAGGGGAAAGAAAATGTCACATTACCACAAAAATGACAAAGATCATATTGGAACGTAGGAACTGGAACATTATTTGTTAGGAAAGTGGCCTCATCCTTCCATCTCATTCAAAAATGGTCACTTCTCAACTGAAAGACCATGGCATCACAAATAAAGAAAGTTCGGGGCCTATCAGAAATAATCCCAGTGACAGCAAGAATATTGAGCACTTTGATGGTAAATATCACCTATGAGACAATCCTACAAGAATGAGGTGTTTTTTGTTTAAGTAGAAAAAAAAAAAGAGGAAGAAGGAGGCGTAAATTCTCAAAGACAGAACTCGTTCTGTAGGAAGAATTAATGGACAAAAAAATAGTAAGCTTAAAATTAAGATGATAAATGAAATTTGGACCTTAAGAGAACTTTCCATGTTAAGACATGGCATGAGTTGCCTGAAGAGGTTCTTCGTCTTTGGAAGATACATGAAGATATGTAGCATCTCTACAGAATGGCAGAGTTAGAGTTGATCCTGCTGAAAGACATGGACTATCTGATCTTCTGAAGTTCTTCCAACCCAATTTTCTTTTATTATACAAAAAAAGATTTAAGTGTAAATGTCTTCTATGAAGTATTATAGTGCTGTCAAGACAGTCATTTCTTCTATTGTATGCTTTAAAATGATAAACTCTGTTTATTTTTTTTCAGTAAACATAAACAAAAAATCTCAAATAGCTGCCCCAAATGTTCTCTGTCACCTATAGAACATTAATAGCGGAAACTGAGAATAGGTTAAGATTTAGTTCAAATCAGTTGGAGAGGTCTGTAAATTTGAACATCTGAAATTAGCATTTTTTAACAGAACTGTCCTCAAAATATCTTCGTGCATCTTCTCAAATTTGAGCCCCATGGAGATAAAAAATATTCCAAGTCCCACAGACTCTTACGTTACTCTCGATGGTGGATTGTATCACGTTTTTCACACATGGTTCACAGTTACCCTGATTGTTTCTGCAGCCATTGGCACCATTTCAAAGTGAGTATAAAACACCATCAGGCTAATGTAATGTCTTCTTATATTTGATGTGTCCTAATGTGAATAACTCTGCAAGGCCTGGGGAACTAGGTTCTCCTGTTTTATGCATACCTGCCACTCTATCTGCATGGGCTGCTTTCAAAGACCTCTTTGTCTGCAAGGTAAACTTCGGCTGGGGATGATCTCAGACTTGAAATCCCAGCCAAGGGAAGTCATCAGGCTACAAAACCCACAAAGTTAAAAATACAGGGAGCACTGGAAAATCAACAGGAAGCAATTTCTGCTGACTGAAGTTTTCAGCTCTCTTCCAAACACCAGCCGCAGCAGTCTGTTGGATGGAACAAAGCAGCTACATAAAAGAAGTAACTCTTAATTTAGTTTAAAGAAGAAGCTATCACCAGGAAATGATTAGAAATGTATACTTGTCTGTTGCTGGGATGGGGCATCATCCTGCCTTTACCCAGTCCCACAGACTGTCTCCCCACTTCTCTCTCCTTGCAAGGGTGCCATGGACAATGGTTGCCAAAGGAGATTTCTCCCTTCCTTCTGGCTGTTGATATTAGCAAGCCTGAAATTGGTCCTGGCAGTTTGGTATGAAGGACTTACCATCTCAGAGGATTCCCAGGCCTGTCAGGTATTTGAACACAGCTTTGTTTGGCCTGACTGCCTTGGGGCAATGCCTGTCAGACTAACTTAGCCTATAGCTGCCAGACATCGAATGAAGATTGCCCAGCTTCAGCCCAGCAGAGCAAAGTATGAAGTTTTGCAGTACAAAACCAGAGACAGTTATGGAAGAAAAGCACAAAAACAGAGGCTTAAACTATCCATATCTTGCTCTGGCTTGCACAAATGGAAAAGCTGAAGGTCCAGCTCAGGAACTCTCTTGTTTTCAGGGTGGGACCTCTGTGGGGCATGCATAACCAAGGAGAAACACATCCTTTCCCCATTGCAGACCTTAGGGTCTCTCAAATCCTCAAGTAAGCTAGCAGCTTGGTATGTATATCCTCTCTGACTTGACCTGCCCTTGAGAGCTTGCTCATTGGAAGGCTCCTACTGCTGAAAATGTTCAGTGTGGACTACCCTCTCCTTGCATCACCAATGTCCACCACTCTTTGGTAACTAATGATTTTTCTCACCCCATGGTCGTTCCCTATTTTCTGCTGCTGAACCTAAAATACATAAAATGCAGGTGCATTTTTGAAGCACTTGTTTTCTTATCTATGATCCAATGTGATCACTGAAAAACAGCTGATCTGAGCAGTGTGGCTGTGGGTGAGACAGAATCATGCAATGTCATAAGAAAAGCCCAATCTCTTACTGAATCACTGATTTTCCTCTGCTTGTGCTTGAAGTAGGATTTATTTCTTGGCAACTGGAATTTTCCCCCTGCTTCTATTGTAATTGGGAGTTACAATGATGTAAGATCACGTAAGGATATTTCTTTGAAAAGTTTATACAGGGCTGCAGACATGAAATGAAGCAAACTTATTGGATCTCCAGTCCAGAGTCATTGCTTAAGCGTTACGAAGATTTAAAAAACAGAAAGTTAGATGTGATTTTTGTGTTTGTAGTCTGGCCTCTGAGCCTTACAGGTGCACTAAGTCTCCATCTGCAAGTTTTTCCATGTGTTCATGAGGACAAAACAAGCTGTTTTTTTCTCTTTTTTTCTATATCAAAGTTATTCTTGGCATTATCTTTTGGTTACAGCTAGTAGAAATACTAAGAAAACAAAAAAAAAACTGCAAGAACCTAAAAAAAAAAGAAAAGAGCCTTAGCAAGACCTAAGAGTTCTGATAGTAAATACACCCTGGTTAGAATACGATTCTGCCATTGCCCAGTTTCCATCCCACTGAGCCTGAATGTAACAMGTTAATAGAAAGGAAAAAGGGAAAAACACTGACCTAAAATAAGCTTCTAAATTCATCCAGACACTCAACCATTTACATCTTTCTGGCAAGGCAGGCCTTGCATGGTCCAGCAGTAAGCACAATAAATGAATATGTTATTCTAGGCTAGGGTCTACTCATTCAGTCGTAAAGAACAGATTAAGAAATTGAAGCATAAGTCTAGCTCTGAACAGATAATCCTGAGATCCTCAGCCTCCTATGAGGGTCCTAAAGCCCCCGAGTCTCATTTGCACCAGTGCATATTGTGTCAGATGGGCCCTAGAGCTAGTTTCCATGCTGGGGGATTATCACACTTCTGGCCAAGCTAATCGCTCTGATTAATGTCTTAACCTTCACTGACACCCACTACAGTCATAATCACCCCATAGTKCATTGCCAGTTGCTTCCCATAGCTTACATATTCTTTTCCAACCTTTCCAGACTTGCTAGTTGCACTTCTTTTAAATGATAAATTGTTTTAATAATTGGGTCCTGTTAATAGCCTACCCAGCTTTGCTAACGTTTAATAGTTAAAAGCTTAATAAGTAAACCACATCAGGTGTTTGCCTTTGCTTATCACCTTCCTACAGCATAATGAGGCTTTTTAGCTATTTAGTGAGGTATAAATCTTTTGTATTTGGTTTATAGCTGGCCAGTGGCAYGACAGGCGACTCAGACATAATTCTAAATGAATGTTTCCAAGTGGAAACTTGGAATTTGAATTCAAATGACCTTACCCCCTTTTTATTATTATTAGTCTTTCCTGTGTGCGTTTTTCAGCTTGCTCATTCTTAATTCCTTCTGTACTTATTACTGCAGTGAGCCTAATCCTGTATACTTGTAGAGCCCAAGTGTGGGAGCCATAAATACTTCTGCAGTCTCTCCAGGACAAATCAGCTGTAATTGGATCTACAGTTGCCTCATTAAAAAAAAAAAAAAAAGGAAAGACACATTCCTTCTGAAGAAAATTCTGTGTCTGTGTGCATGTGTTTGCATCTCTTCTGCCCTTGAGTAACGCTTTGTCCTCTCGCTCTGCCCCAGGCTGAGTTCTCCGAGTTGAACCTGGCTGCTTATGTCACTGGCGGCTGCATGGTGGACATGCAGGTCACGAGGAACAGCACCAAGGTGGTAAGGTGAGGAGCGCTGGCTTTTCTCGCATTTTCTGCGGTGATGTGGGAGCAAAGAGGATGACTGGTATTTGAACGAAAGCAAGCATAATTGTGTTGATTTCAAATTTTCCTGGAGGTGTGGAAAGAGTGATCTGACTCTGGTGGGTTTGTATCAGTTCTCAATTGCATCTTAGACCATACAGTCATTGTTTCCTGTCCAGATCCYTCATTTAATCACAAATGCTTCATTTTTTTTTAGGTTCTTTTAAGCCTTGGGCCTGTTAATGTAATGGGTAGAAAATGGATCTTCCTTTCACTTGATTTTTCTCTCCTGTAGGATTCTGTCAACTCACCTTGATCATAAGCAGTATTTTCCATGCATTAGCCTGCCTGTGCTACTCCAGACCCTGGCAGACTGCCCTCACAATAGCCACAAAGCCTGATTTTCTCCTGAAATACCACCTTTTTCTGCCAGAGATTTCCCAATCCTTCAGCTTTGCCCTGACATTTTTTTTTCAGAGGAAATAACATATCTCCATTTGATGGGGATTTCTATTTCTGCTAGCATTATTTTATAATTGCAGTCATTTCAGGCAAAGACACTTTGCCTGGTCAATGCCTTCCTAGTCACTSATCCATTTATTATTTCGAAATATCGGTTTCCTTCTTTCTGACACAAGAGTGCCTGCAATTTGAAATTAGTATGTTAGATGTAATATTACCAGTGCTATATAAAGAGCAGTGTAGGATGTTGCCACATCTGTGCATGACAGTAAAATGTCTCTGTTTACACAGACCTAATATTACCTTTCACCTTTTTATTCCAAAATCCACATCTTTATTAAGTTCTGTTATTCAGATTTCCTACCCTACATTTCATTTGTGGTGAAATTTCATTGTCCATTTTTCTAGCCTCTCTACTTCTTTTTTGTACAATTCATTTGCACTTTCTGGTGTTTATAACATCTCCAGGTTTAATAACACTTGAACATTGAATCGGTACCTTTGTCTATTTAGTTCGAGATCAGAAATAGAGATGCAGATGTGTTAAACTGCAAGCAGGGAGATTTTTGAAGGACATAATCAGAGTGGCTGAAAAATGGTCATTCTGACAGTGCTGAGTTTAATTTCTCAAGACATCACTTCCAGTTCAAGAAGTCCAATGCAACACTTGTCACTGTTGATTAGCTATGACTGTGGTCCTTCAATTCCTCTGAGGTCTTGACAGCTCTCAATACACTCACAAGTCTCCGTTCATTCTTTGGTGCAATTTCATGAGTCTCTGCTAAAACCTTAAAGTTTGAGTCTGTTATATCCATCTGCTATCTCTAGACCCACAAATGTCTGTTTCTCAGTAAAGGAAAGCGTATGTCTTGTGAACCCACCACTGGAATGTCCATCAGCCAGTGCGCTGTGCTAATGCACTCATGTGTTCATTTGCTCATGATCCTGGAAGGTTTCCCAAGAACAATTTTCTAGGTTGATCACATCTTCATTTTCCTTCCTATGCCTTTCCTCCCAAAGTCATTCCTAAGTCTGGCAGAAAGCTCTTCAGCTATTAAACTGAAACTGAAGACAAAATTTATTTCACATGAGTGTCTGGGGCATGACATTCATGTCCTGCTTGTGGTAAATACACATGTACTAAAGCTAGCTTTTCTTCATGGCTCTCTATATATGAAAAAGCATATGTTTTTACATGTGGCTGTAGTTCAGATTTTGTGTTTTCATCTATGGATATTTCTATATTTCATCTATGATTCTGTGCAGTGGGGGGTAGATTTCGCAAACAGATGTCTGTCTAGGTACCCAATATATATGGCTACATGTCCATGGTTTGAAAAAGGCCTTACAAGCAACRCAGCATGTGCTGATATGCCCATTCCTCCCTAGTTCAGTAAATTTAAGAGCCCACACTAACAAATTTACAAAAGCATTCTTACTTATGCTTTAGGAATTGGGGAGAAAAAGCATTCTTTGCTTTAGAAAGCTAATTAAGAAACACACTACTAATGGTCCTTCAGCCAGCCCCTGAACACGGGTCCAGGCATGGAACTGCACCATGTATTTCCCCTCAGGATTTTGTTTGTCACCTCTCCTGCAATGGATGCCTTCCTCTGCTCCATAGATGCTTTTCAGACTTTCTATTATCAATGAAGCAAAAAGTTCCTCTGCTCCATAGATGCTTTTCAGACTTTCTACTATCAATGAAGCAAAAAGAAGATTAAAAACAGCATATCTTATTTTCGAGCTGAATTCTGTGTGTGCCATACCTGACTCTAGTATTTCCTTTGTGTCTTGTCCTTGCTCTTTCCACTAACTGTGTCATAACATGCTACATGCTCATACACAGAAAAGGAAATGAAAATATTTTGTTATTGTTTTCAGCATGTTCCTGCTTGAGGGCAATATGTTTTTTGTCCATGTTGTCTACTTAGATTTCCCTCTGTGCCAACAAGTAGTAGGCTATTACGTAGAGCTCTATCTTCAGGAGTCTCTGTTTGCAGAGAGATTCATATTGCATGTAAGCATACGCCATGTTATTGAAACATTTTTTGAGTGGAGACACTCAACCGCTTGGGGTATACAAAGGTGCAGATGCTTTGGTCCATCCACATGCATGCAGCTTGCTTCCTGCCCCCCCTGCAGCTCCCCATCGTACCAGGGATCTATTTCCAGATACCCGTCGGTGTGCTCCCACTGCAGGGGCAATGCTACCTGAAGCATCCTCCATGCACTGGCCCTGCTGAAGCTAATTTGATATTCTTTGTGGTCCAGTTGTCATAGTCACAGGAGCACTCCAACTGCTAGGCAAATGGGAACAATTGAGATAATTATAATACTGTGGCAATAAATGAGTTTTTCTAAGTGTATAGCCTCAGCAAACACTATTACAGGAATAACAAGGAGAATTTCTGCAGTTAAACTGCAGTGCAGGAAGCTCCATGTTTAAAAGCTATTGATAGCTTGTTGATCAAGAATTGTAAAAGTCTAGGTGTGCCCTCGATTTTGGGAACCACAAAAGTAATTAAAGAAATTTAGAAAAGATATATGTCAAATACATCAAATATTAATAATAACCATAATAGTAGTAATACTAAAGTCATAATAGACTGAGCAAACTTGAAACAAGAGACTAATATTTCCAAGAGACCAAATTATTTGACTTGGATGCAGTCCTTCAGCCTTTGTGCACACAGACAGAGGTCATTGAGGAGGTATTCCTGAAGATGTATGTGTTGGTCGTACACATCTCTGATCCAGCACTTGCTAGGCCTCTCAATTATTAAGTATGATCTTCAGCCACAAGTCAGAATGTTTCTAGACTGTGAGATACAATTCTAATACTGCTTTTTAAATACTCTAAATTCTAAGAAAGCTAACTGACAAGTTATAGGAAGGAAATATGAATACCTAGGTAACAGGCACACTTGGGATTCCTTTCCTGCAAACTCCTCCTGCTTCACACTCCCCTTCAAAGCAGTGGTAACAGAGTGGAGTAACTGAGTTAAAAATAGAAGACACTTTAGGGCAGTCAATTTTAAATCTACAAAATGATAAACACTTTTATTAGTAATAATAATAGTAATACTATAGCAAACACTGGCATATTCTCTGCAGTTTTAAATTAAGCTAGCTGAATTGTATTCTATTACCATATTTAATTCTGTCATTTTGCAATACATCTTATATTTCTTTATTTAAACTGGAGAYGTCTAACTGTATGTTGTAATCAAAGCTCTTGCTTTGCTGATCTCTTGATTCTTTCTAGCACTGCAGAATTATGGCTTTATTTTGGACCCTGGGCAAACTGACTTGAATTACACCTGGAAAGTATTGTGGTTCTTTTTCTTGGGGAAAAAAAAAAAAAACCTCCTATAATGAAAGTACAATAATCCTTGAAATCTCACCCTTATCAACGGCCTGTAGCAGGGAGGGGAGTGGGTAGATGTACATTTAGAAGTATTATTTTAGAAGTTGATTAAAGAAAGCAAGGAGCTCAAAGTATACAAACCTCCACACTTCATAGTCTGTATATCTTTAAAAAAATAATTTCAGCCAAGCTAGGAAAACTACTACACGTGCTGAAGTATTACTTGTCTAGCCCAATTTTTATGAGTGTGGCTCTTACAGTTTAATCTTGCAGTAAAAAAAAAAGTTTTCCACCTCCTCTCTCTCCCTATTAAATTTTGCACAGCTGTAGTGCAAGATGAGGGATTTAATTGCCCTTGTGGTGGTACTTGAGGTAGAGAATATCTTCCAACATACCTGTAAAACTGCTTGTGTTTTCCTGTGCCATTTCCACCATGAAATGTGATGACTCTATCAGCCCATGGACTCCATCAACCTCTTCAGTGCAGGTTATGTTCAAAGCTAAATGAAAAAGAGCCAGCCATAGAGCACCTCTAGTGAGCTCTATCTCTCATCACTCCTTATCACTTCTTTGCCTCATATCACACYTTGTATCACACCTCATCCCGATCCAAGACAAAGAAGGGAGATAAGAAGGGCACTGGGATCAGCACCTGGCTTGGCCAGAGCCAAGGGGACCTGCTGGCACCTTGACCCTTGTTACAACCACACTCCTTTGGTTAGGATTGGCGCCCGACCTTCTGCAAAGAAACATTACATGTGTGCAGCTAGAGGCAGCACTAGTCAACCACCAAGGATCCCTAACCAATTTAAACAAAACTACTCCTTCAACAGCAAAATGCCACCACTTCTCAGTTCAATGGAAAAAAAATGGACTTTAAAAAAAAAAGACATGACTCAACGCCTGCTTTTAAAATACTTGTATGGATTCTGCGTCCTCCTCACTTTGCATAAGTCTACACACACTTGCATGAACACACACAGTAAAGCGCCTGGAGTTTACCTTAGAAAAATAAAGATCTTGTCATGTCTCCTGAGATTATATACAAAGAACAGGATTTTTTTTTCATTTATTTTGCATATCACCAGAAGCTGCCTTCATATCAACACTTCTGCAATGTAAAGAGACCTTCAGTGTTGGTATTGCAGCC